GGAAAGGTCACAACTTTGTAGCTAGAAGCAGATACCAAAAAGTTAACTAGCTTACTGCTGTAATATGATCATCCAAAAGCACGTGGGGATCTAAAATTGGCACTTAGTATTTTTTATCTTCTAATGCCGCCCCCACCCCCCTTTCCACCTCCAGTGAACAGAATGAGGGTGTGTTGATTGGCAGAGAGGAAGGGAATAATTCAGAGGGGCTGCAAGGGGCCCATGACTGGTTCCCATGGAGGGTTCCTCCTTTGCGTCTCTGGGAAGCAGAGTTATCAGAAGGGGAACTGGTGAAAGATAATGCAGGGACAAGCTTAAATGCAGGGGTAGTGGGTGGAGAGAGAATATGAAATATGGTGGCTGTCACCATCTCTGCACACTGATACCCATCCAGAACGCTGCAGCCAAGATTGTTTCCCTAGCGTGTTGCTTTGCTCTCTCCACGCCTCCTTCACAGGCTCCCCTTCTCTGTCACATCCAACATCCCCTGCTTCTCTTCACTTTCAAAGTTCTTCCTTCCTGCGGTTACTCCACCCATCATCATTTTGTTCAGCATTCAGAGGTCAGCTCCTGCCTTCGGTGAGCCCACTGCCAGTCTCCATTGCCCACCTACTACGTTTTCTAACAAGCACGTTCCTACTTTCTCCCATGCTGCCCCTCATACTTAGGCAGAGCTCCCTGGTAACATCAGCACAGTTACTTTGCTAGTGTCCTTCCAGTCCCTCCTTAAAATTCTCCTTTGCTGTGATACCTACATAATACTGGACATGAGTTATGGCAGGGGTGGCCAACCCGTGGCATGTGGCAGATCCAGTAGGGAACAGGGAGAAGAGCAGCAGATAGGGCAGGGAACAGAAAGTAGAGCAGCAGATTGGTCAGGGAGCATGTGACAGGGAGCAGAAAGCAGAGCAACAGAGCAGGCTGGGGAAGGGAATCAGAATGGCACTCAGGGAGGGTGCAGGACTTAGCTTGTGGCACACCTGCCAAAAAGGTTGGCCCCCACTGAGGTAGGGTGATCCTCAGACTGCAGCCATTTAATAGTTTCCTCAGACTGTTGATCCATTTAATAGTTTCTTGTGCTTCCCTGCCTGTATTCAGCTGTTACCTCTCGACTCATGCTGAGATGGTCAGCTCTGCAGGACAGAGACTGCAATTTTTATTGGGTCTGTATAGCACTGAGCACACTAGGGACCTCTGTCACAAGCATCGCTCCTAAGAACAGCACTAGCACAGAGAGGAGAAGAGCAAGCGATTCAGAGGAGAAGGGAGGGTGGTAATTCTTAGTCTGGAAAATTACCAACCACTTTAGAGATAAGCGGTGTGGTCTCTTCCATGTCCAGAGTTGAGTAAATTTCCCTCGTAGGCTTGGAATGCATGAATTTACACGGGCATTTCCATGCTGCCCCCCTTCCCCCAGTGAATAACATGACACCCACAGAAATGATGCACATCCATCCAAAAGGGCCCTCTTGATTTTACAAATCTGAACACATACACTAGTCTATGGGTGGAGCCAGCAGACCCCAAATTCACCAGCTCCTTGGAGGTTGTTTTGTGCTTCTCCAAAGTCTTTATTTCAAGTAATACCCAGGACTTTATACCACATTTTAAATAATGATGGAGGGCTTTTTTGGTGAGGAGAGGGTGACAATCCTGTAATCTTTCATTCCTGAAGGTGTTTGTTATAGCCCCTTATGTTAGCACTTTCCCCTTTCCATAAGCATTGTATTTATTAACATCATTAACTAGAAACATAGAGTGTGATTAGCGCTGTGCTGGAAAGAAATCTTCTGTATCCTATTGCCTTTAACCTAATCTTGACGGCAGCTGAGCAGGAGTTAAAAGAAGTTGATGCACCCAAGATTTTAAAGGTGCCCTGCAAAAAACAACCATTTGATTTGTAACGTTTTGCTCCCTTAACTTCATTTTAAAAGGTCTGGAAAATATTTTCTTCTTCTTCTTCTTTTAAAGCAGTTTAAGCCACGCAGCAGGTTTATCTGGAACTGAGGCATCTGACCAGTGTCAGCTAATTTTGCAAACCCATCAACTGGCTGCCAAGTAGTAGCAGAAGCCTTACTCTGCACTGCAGGAGTGACATGGCCCTGCCTGCGAAGGAGAGTGTGTTCTTCTACCATAGGAAGGGGAGCTTGAAACTTTGGACTGTGATGTGCAACAAAACCACAGCACAAATGAGAAAATTAAGGGGCTGAGGAAGTTGCCCATCAAAGCGCAAGCAACTCCTTGATTGATTGATTGATTCAGCTGAGACAATGACTTACAATATGGTCCCTCCATAAACAAGGTGCTAATGGGAAAATACTTGCTAAGCCTACATCCTTCCAGAGAAATAGCAGGCTTGCTTCCTTCACTTTAAGTCACGCTTTTAATACAAAATCAATAGGAGCTGACAAATGGCTGGAGCTTTTTGCTCCCTCTAAATAGCTACTTGAGTTGCCCCTGAGTTACATCCAGGATGTTACACTCAACTGACCCTGCTGACAGGACCAGTAGTGCAGGTCAGGCCCACGGATTGGCTCTGCATATGCATGCCAGGTCCAGCATGCGGGGAAACACCATGTATCTGGGTGTATGAAGGCAGTTTTCTTGAGCATTCCTGAGGATAACTGTTCTTCTGGCATGGTTTAGCACCCACCCAGGTGTTGGGGCTTACAGCCCACTTTATGGAAATGGGAGGCTTCTCCGTAGCTTGCTTCTGCAGCCATATGGCTGAGGGCAGGCGAAATTTGGGGGCATCTGAACCCCAAGCCCCCGGGCTTGGGCCTGCATGTAGGATGCCTGCCAAAAGACTTTGGAAATATCTGAAGCCCCTGGTGGGGGTGGAGGATGTTTGCGAGTTGTAGGGCCACTTATGGTTCTGGACTGACTCACGGATTTGGCGTGGATTTGGCTGATTTGGCTTGGAATGTGAAAAATATCTTTAAAAAAAAAAAAAAGTGTCCCAGTGTGGGTGCAGTGTGCTGTGCATGTCCCAAAGCAGGTGATCAGAGACCACACCAAGTGCAACACCCACTCCAGGCCCTTGCAACACCTGCTCCACCCCCAAGGACCATGTTGCACATGCACGTCTGCTTCAGCACAGGTTCGCTCCATGCAGGATCCAGCACGTGTCCCAGAGAACCTGGAGTGGGCACTGCAAGCATCAGAGCACCTGCACCAGCAGCTCCAGAACTGGCCACCTGCTCCACAACCGTACTGCCCACTTTAGGACCTCATTGGCTACTTTGGGATATGTGCTGGATCTGGCATGGAGCAGACATGTAGTCCCAGAGTGGCTGGAAGCAGGTGCCATATGCAGCATGTGGGGCCCTCTGCACACACCACATGCCTGTGGGTCAACTCTGAGACCCATGGGCAGCACAGCACAGGAGGCTGGATGATCAGTTTCTGTGGACCGGATGTGGCCTGTGGGATATATTTTAACACCCCTGTCTTACATGGTTTGTGCTATAAGTTCATCCCTTGAGCACTATAATTCTCCCTGAACAGTCTGTGGAGCATAGGAGAATTAGAAAGTACATGAATCAAAGCTCTTTCTGCCCCTGGGTTTTCAGAGGAGTTTGCCAGGCTTACATTTAATGTGATGGCATTTCTCTGTTTGTCTGTAGTGGGATTGCAAGGGTAATATATTAATATAAGATCCCTTATAAATTTCCATGCTTTTGATGGCAAGGTGTTGTTGGGTGATATCTTTAATTGGACCAACTGCACGGTTAGGATAGACTTAGAAGCCTTCAGCTTAACACATAAAACTAGGTCTCTGTGCTTTAGGGTACTCTTAGACAAGCTTTGGAATATAGTGCATTCTTCTTCAGGTCTGTGCTGTTTGAGCTCTAATTATCAAACTGTAATTTCATTTCCACCTATGTTTTGCCCCTTTTCTCTCAAAGTATTGGGTATCAGGGGAAATCCATCAAAGTGGCTCCTTATATTCAGCTCTCTTCTTGCATCTGCATTACATCGTTTCTGGCATGCCTCAGATTTTTAAGGAGGGGAACTTACTTTATTCTGGGAATCCAGACCTCTTTAGTAGCTTTTTTAGACCAAGACCCCGTCTGCCTGCAGCAGCAGCTCATAGTATGAACATTTCAGGGCCTGTCCGATTTCAATCATAGCTGCCCAAACTTAATCCTAAAACTGCAGCTGCAAATTGCTCTCATATACACTAACACATACTCAAAATTATTTCAATGTATAAAGAATATGAACCTAAGCCTAATACATCTATTCCAGGAACCTCACATTTATTTAGGCACAGGATGTTAAAAAGGTCTTGGTGGGTTCAGTCCTGGTAGAAGGGGTTGGGGCTGTAGTGTACTGAAGTGAGCAAGCCTTTTCCAAGCATCAGAATCTAAACGTGTCTGTGGAATGGCCTGGAGGGATTTGGGGTGCTAAATGAAGAAGATGTTCTGAAGTCTCCTTTTGTACCCTGAAATTGCCTTTCTTACCCTAACAGGTTGCAGAATAATGTCCATACTTTGTCCTGGATCATCCCATTCTTCAGGGGGACAGAGGAAGGAAACAGTGGGGCCAGCTCAGGTAGGAGAGTTTTTGAGATTGTTAAAGGATTTGTCTCAGGAGGGAAGAAAAGCAGTAAAGATGCAAGGGTGTATGCATGAAGGGGCCTCCACCAACGAAGTCCAGGGAGAAAGAGCATCCCTTAACATCCAGCTGCTGTCAATGGGAAATCTGTTGGGATTCCTTCATGTCCCTGGAATCTACCTTTGCCTTCCTCTGGCTACCAGGTGTGTGATAAATCAGAAGGGCCCTTCCCTCACCTCTCTGATGGCAGGGACTAGGGGTTCTCTTTTTTCTCCCCATACCATGAGGTCTTCTGGAAGCTCTGAATAGGCTGTGATCCTCCTCTGTCCTTCCCAGTGCTTTTATTTTTTGGAACTCTTCCACCCTAAATGGTGGGACAGTGACTGTGGCAAAAAGGATTGAGTGGGAACACTTACTGTTTTCAGGAGCTGATGACCTTTGAAGATGTCGCTGTGTATTTCACCAAGGAGCAGTGGGCTCTGCTGGACCCCAGTCAGAGGGCTCTCTACAGAGATGTTATGCAGGAGAACTATGAGACTGTGGCCTCACTCGGTAAGGATTCCTGACCCCTTGCATTTTAGAAGTGAAGCAGGGAGTGTCTCTGAAAAAAATCGCTGCTTGGTGTTTTTTTCTTGGTCCCTTAAACTTTATAGGGCTCATCTCCTCTTACTTGTGTGTGCAGGCAGTCCTCAGACTTGCAACACAATTGGTACCTGAAAACAGGGTCTTAAGTCGAAACACTGTAACTCGGAACCAATTTTCTCATAAGAAATAATGTTATAAATGGGGGATTGGTTCCTGAACTAAAGCCCGATACCCTATTTTCACCAAAAATACCCCAAAATTTTGTACTCAATCAATTATAGATGAGTAATATAGCTACATTAATGTATTTATACTGTAAATAGCAATCATATTGATTTGGAAGGACTTCTTTGAGGTGACTTTGCTGGACTTTTTGAAAGGCTCCTAGTTGGACTTTTTGAAGGGTTCTTGGCTGAAGTCTTGTCAGGAGTCTTGGCTGCAGGTTTTTTCTGGAGTCCTGTCTGCTTTCTTAAAGAAAGTGTCCAAGGAAGTTTGGACAGATATTCTCCACGGAGATGAGCGACACAGTGAACTTGTTCGCTGGCATGGCATCGCATCGGATCAAGTGTTGTAAAGTCAAAACTGACGTCATAAAGTTGAAACAGAGTGTCAATTTATAAACGTTTGTCATGGGATAGGGTCCCCAGGGATGGCTGTGATATCCCTAGGGCTCATTGACCATGCCAATCCTGCCCAACAGGCACCTTCTTTCTCACCCGCCATGCCTTGCTGGTAATTTTAGTAAATCAGAAGACTGCCCTCAAATTTGTATTCTGGACACGGTCCTGCTGGACCCCACTGAATCCTGTGGGTTCCTAGACCTCTTTGGCATCCCGCTTCAAAATGGATGACTCACAGGACACCCTCAGCTTTATGAGCTAGATGCGTGGCTCCAAAACCATCCCTTTACCATGCCCCAAGCCTTGCAGATGGTATTCACGTTGTCTCTCCTGGGCCTTGCTATGGCTCAGCCCCTTGTCCTCACTGGGCTCTCTGCAGCCCTGTCTCTGTGCCCCACACTGGCGCTGGGGTCTGCTCACCCCCTTATCCCCGTGCCCTTCTCTGGTGCTGGGGTCCCCACACCATCGTGGGCCCCCAATGAGGCCTCCTCCTTCCCCAGTAGCCTCAGCCCAATCCACCAGTAAAAGAGCAACTAAAAATCTGAGCCCCTGGTCTATAACATAATATAAGCAGTTCAGGGTGTGCTCTGTCCTTCTCATAGATTTCATAGACATTAGGGCTGGAAGGGACCTCGGAAGATCATTGAGTCCAGCCCCCTGCTCAAGGGGCAGGAAGTCAGCTGGGGTCATAGGATCCCAGCAAGATAAGCATCCAAATTTCTCTTGAAGGCGTTCAATGTAGGTGCTTGAACCACCTCCGATGGCAGGCTGTTCCAGACCTTGGGGACTTGGACAGTAAAGAAGTTCTTCCTTATGTCCAGCCTGAAATGGTCTTGCAGGACTTTATGACCGTTCGACCTCATCATCCCTTGGGGCGCTCTGGTGAACAAACGTTCCCCCAGGTACTGGTGGTCACCACTGATAAACTTATAGGTGGCCATCAAATCACCCCTGAGCCTGC